TCCTTGTGACGTAGCCGGTGTCCTACAACCGTGCGGGAAGAGAGGAGGTGGCTCTCAGCAGCTGCTGGTGGCGCGGCCTGCTCTGGCGCTGGCCCCGCGTCCTGGGCGTTCTGCGCCGCTCACTTGAGCGTTTCTCTCCCCGGAGCAGCCCGGCCGCGCGCGTGCGACTGGCAGCGCTGCCCTTCGCGCAGCAGCAGTCAGCGACCTGGCCGGCCTCCCGTTGGGTCGCTGGTATTGCCAGGGTTTACGTCCGGCCTCTAAAGTTGGTGACTGCTTGGTTCGGAAACACTAGTGCATTTTTGTACGTTTACATATGCAAAATGAAAAAGTGCCCAAACATAAAACCTCATTCTATTCAGGAAGGAAAAAGTGACATTTTTAAGTGATATTTTCACTAGTGGAAAAAGCAATCAATAGCGTTCAGGAAGCTTCCTTGTTTGGCCAGAGCGGTTGCCTCTAATGCGATTTACGGCTCAGAGCAGGGTCAGCAGGTAGTCAGAAATGCATTAAGTCAGTGACTGTATTTTATGGTGAGCTTTTTTGTGTGAGATAGTAAATCTCTGTGAGGATAAACAGCATGTGCCCAGAAGTCTGTGGTGGGATGATGTTATACAGTAGCTGTATTTTAATGTAACAGCAGTAAAATTCCTTCAAATAATGATTCCACTTACTCTCAGGCAGGTGAACGTGGCAAATGATGAACATGGGTTTTGCTCTGGTTGGTGAATTCACAACTGACCTTTTCAGAGTAGTGTTACAAGAGGAGGATATTTTCCCTGAGTACAAGTGAGTGGTTTCAGGCTATTAAGTCAATAGCAGTCCCATAATTGAAGAGTCTGAAGTCTCCTGCACACACAAGTGTGTGCTTCCAGAACTAAAGCTCTTGCACGCTACTGAAAAAGTATTCTACCAATCCTCAGTCCATATTTCTAATTTCAATTATAGTAGTCTGAGGAAAATACTTGCATACTATATGACTTTTCTTCCTTCAGGTAACAGGCAACAACCTGATTTCCTTCCTTTTTGATCTATGCCTCCCTTAGGCAGGTAGCTATTTCATTGTAAGTAACAGTAAATCTTTCACTGACAACAAATAACAAGTGGCCATAATTGAAGTGGAGGGTTGATCTTATTTCTCAAAATTATTTTTTAGTTGTAGATGAGTGTAGCTGCAGTGACCATGATGTTCTCTGTATGGCTTGGCAAATTCTGTCCCAATGACAGTAACTTGTATTAGCAGGAGGTAAGAGCTGAATACTGCATGCTGTATTAGTACATGGGTTCAACACCTACATAAGGGTGAGGAGAAACCCCCGTGAAGTCACTGCAGTCCCCGGATGAAAACACCCTCCTGGGTCTCAAAGCTGTGCAGAGTGGGTAGCCCCACAAGCTACAGCAGTCTCAAAGAGCCAGTGCAACTTGACTGTTCTTGCTTACAACCCATGCTAGTGACACTGTGGGGTATCCAGTAAGTGTAACCACTTCAGAAAAGTGAGGAAGAGGCGTTTCAGCTTCATCTATCAAATTGCACTTGGGGTACTGCTGTTCCCAAATTGGCGTCTGACCTAACAGCTAAGTGCAAGGTACGATACCCAACAAGGATCTAGGCTGCTGCCCTGTATCAGCGCATTTGGGAAGCAGGAAGGGGATATTGCTTGTGTCCTAGCAGGACGAGCTGCACGTTCAGCAGCAGAGCTACCAGACAGCTGGTAACACAGCGAGATGCATCGTGCTGCCAGTGCAGTTATTTGTTACTAAGGGGAGGCTTGACCTTTGCAGGGCTTGGCTGTGGCTAGAAATAGACAGGGAGACAACATGAATCATTTGGTCCTATAATAAAGTGTAGTCCCAGATACATCTGTTACTTGCAATTTTTCTTCTCTGGATTCCAACTGTAACTTACAAGGAGGAAAAAAGATGATTACGTTTTGAGGGGAAGAGAGATTCAAGACCCTGTTAATATGGTCCATGTGGTCCAATCACAACTTCGACAAGGTTTAAAATCTGAGATTTTCAGAGTTCTTCCATGTTCCTTCTGTATTTATTTGTTTTATTGAAGGAGTGAAAGGTATGAAGGGAGATATGGAAAATCAGTATCCAGAGATGCGTTTGCAAAATGGGTGCAGCCAAGGTGTATGTAAGACTGTCAGTGGTTCTATCCAGTAGTATTGAGTCTCAACAGAAAGGCTCTTAGGCAGGAGTCTGTGCAGAGGAAAGTTCAGAGGAGTAGAAAATGTTGAAGATAATGATCTGTTGCCTTCCATGCGCCTAAGGAAAGCTCCTGTAAAAGGATAATCCCCAGTCCTAGGTTTCCTGTTCAAGTCGGGGGGGCTGTGGGAGTCAAGTGGCTGGGCCTGCAGCTGTGTGAGATGCTGTGAAGGAGAGAAGACCTGCGCTGCAGGCAGGGAGAGCCGCGGCCCCGCGGAGCCCGTTCCGGCCAGGGCACGTCCTCCGCAGTCAGGCTGCCCTGGGGAACTGCCCGTGCAACGTCCTGAGCTCCCCTGCATCCTCCTCTCTTCCTGATTATTTCTTCCTGATTAAGAAACATCTAACCTGTTGGCATCAAGCACAGTGTATACAGGGACAGTAGGTTCTCTTTGACCCTGCCTATTAAGCATGAACTGAAACTCGCTGCCACTGCAGCCTCAAAGGTGCCCATGCCATAAATAGAGAGGAATCTGATTACATCTAACATCATCTATTACAACTTTTAAAGCACTGTTTGAACAAGATAATGTGACTAACACACATTTACCCATCAATCTCCCGTTTTTACACCCACCACTTTCTAAAAATCTCCCTTTGCCCAGCACCCTTTGCATCCCTAAACACATACAAAACACCATGTGCAAAGCTGTAGCTGCTGTTTTTCTTCCTGGCCTGAGGCTGAGCATGGTTGTTAATTCAGGAAGAGGAAAGCTTCTGAAGCCATCTCAGAAAGCTGCTCTCTAGGAGCTAGGGAGAAACGGGGAACAAATTAGAAGAAAATTTCCTGCACAGATTGCAAAGCATTTGCAGGAGCTTAAAACAAAACCCAGCATATTCCTAGTTAATGCAGCCATCTAGGATGGCATCTCTTTTTGAGGACTAGTTCCTGCTCACAAAAACAGCATCAAAAATGGCAATAAACGGGCTATCCTATCAGTCAAATGGGTTTATGCCTTTAAAGCTTGTTTTGCACTTCTGCTTATTTAGCATGATGAGGAGAGTTCAGGATTCAGCTTGTTTGGCAAATCTAGGGAAGGACTGGTAAAAAGCTTTTAAGAAAAAGCCTGCTTAATTACTTAATCCTTAATCCTGCTTAATTATTAGAAGTTACTGGACATACGGAGACCATTGGACTGCAGCCAGGTGAAGAGACACCTTGTGTGTTCTCACCTGTGCTTAGTAAGAATGTGCCCATTAGGCAGCGAGCACACTCCCTCCGCACGTCCTACAATGTCATTAATTTGGCACTTTTGTTCAGCAGCCACCTGTAGTAATTTCTTAAATGAATTAAATCCCATTTCTCACATACACAGCTTTGCATTTATATGAGTTTTCATATTTTCAGCATTGCCGTGACTTGCTATTGAAAGAGAAACCTTTCAGCAAAACACAACATCTCATGTTATTTCTCCATCTATTCTTGAAAGCAAACAAATTCATGTTTATATTAAAAAAACAGGTTAGCACATGAAACAACTGCAAATATTTACATTTCCGTAAATCTCCGTGTGATCTGAAGTTCAGAGACGTAGATTAAGATGGTTAAATATACTTGTTATAATGAGGCATAGCTCACTTGTAGCAGTAATATCACTGACTTGGAAGGAACATTCCATCACCCAGTACAATGTGAGTATCTGCATAACAGGAGGCTTTGTCAGAAAAATCCACCCTATGAAGCATTAATCTAGAGAACTTGTTTAATTCAGACATAGTGCCCAGAACTCAGTTTCAGTAAGACTAAATGTTGGGGATTTCCTTTTCTGTCTTTCTTCCAAGCTAAAAGCAGTCAACTCACCTGTTCCTTAGGACCTGTAACAATAACTGACTTAAAAGTGAGACAGTATTTTTTCATTTTTAATATACTGAAGTCCCATGAAAAAATAGCAGCTCCCTCACTAATTACATGATTTGTAAACAGCCAGGTTAAGCAAAATCACTGAAGGAAGAAATCATGAAAAAAAAAAAGAACAAAGCATTTACTTCTTTCAAGCTGGAATATTATACATACTACATGTAAATTGCAATCAATAAGTGAATGATTTCTAGAAATTATATCACCCTGCAGAAACGAAGTGTTCAATATATTGTTTTCCGAAAGAAAAACCGCCATTGTTTTTCCAATAAATAGTTATATATGGCTGGTTAATTCCACAGACTTGGCAGCAGCCTGAATGATTTTGAAGAGTGTGTGCAGACTGTTTAAAACACTATTGTGGCTCAGAGAGCACCATGTTTTCACTGACAGGCAAAATGCAACAGACGGTGAGCAATGCTGCAGCCTCCTGAAGTCTCCAAATAAGACGAGAAAAAAGGCTGTTGTTAAGTGCAAAGGGAGCTGTGCAAGAGTGGCGATAGGTTTATGTTTTGTATTCTGCAGGCAGGGTTGGTGTGCTTTGGTCTCAGGGTATGAAATAGACCCTCATGTGACTGGAGGACAGTATAGGATATGAGCTTTTCAGAAAGTTTGGGATTTATTTGGATCTAAAGGTTTGTGTCTCAGTTTCGGGCTGCGAACAAGCATTTCCTGGTTCTAAAAGTGACTTGCCAGTGAGGGGTCATTTTTGGACGTGTATATGAAGAAATTGACAATGAAAAAGAATCCTAAAGCCCACACAGGACAAACTGGGAACACTTGAACTGCCTGCCTGGGCCATAACAAAAGCATATGGGGGTAGCAGGGGTTTTATAAATAAGGTTCTGACACTGCTGATCGTTACTGCCACTTATTTCAAGCTGCTTTTGCCCTGTAAATCATTATCAAATTCATGCACTTCCTCCTTGGAGAATCACAGTGCTGCACAAACACTGCAGTGGATTCCTCCTGGGTCAATGTAGCTCTGCCAGCTGGTCTGTGCTAGGGCATAATCCCATCAACATCATCCTCTGAAAAGGCAGGAGAAGCATTAATCTCTAGCAGACTTTTCCTTATAGTAAAATAGGTTGTGAAATAACTCTGAAGAGGAGGTTTCTCATTGCAGAATCTCAGGGAGATGGGCAGCTTCTGTGTGGTAATTTGTAACCAGGAGAGAGCCATGAATCTGTGTCTGGACCTGCAGTTGGTTTATTACCATTACTGGAGGGAAGGGGAAGAGGGTATTCTAGCCTGGGCACATTCTGCTGTTCTCCTGAATGCCAGCATGGAAAACAATATGTGAAACAGGACTTGGGGGTTCAAAGTAAGACACTGAAGTTGCTTTGACATTGGCAGAAAGTATTTACACAGCCAGGGCTGTGACAGTCAAGCTCTGGCAGCTCTCGCTGGCGTGTTTTATATTATTACCAACAATTAGTTATCTCTCTGCCTGTGGTTACCTACACTGAGCAGCCAAACAGCTGTATTCCTGTCAGTCATACTACCTTCAACTGACAGGATGTCACTTTTACACTGCGGTGACAGACACTTGGACAAATAGTGGCTTTCTAGTATCTTCGGAGGTGAAACCTCCCAGCCCAGGGACAGGACGAGCAGCTGGAGAAAGGTAACATCATAGCAGATGCCTATGGCTGTTTGCTGCGGTGCAAGTCAGAGCCTTCAGCTGCAGCTCCTTGGGTGCCTTGTGACTGTCACCTCTCCAGGGTCAATTAGTGTCTTGTGTGAATCTGATATCCAACAGCTAACACTGTGGATAAGCTTATTGTGCACTAATATTTCTTTTGTGATGCGTTACTCGGAGGTCATAAATATAAAATAAGTCCTTGAAATGTTTCAAAGACTCCCCAATCTAGGAGTTACTGAAAATGTGTTGTTTGTTCTGTAAAAATTCATGGGTCTTTCTTTTCTGCTGGGACTCAGTGTAAGGCTGTGAAGTTGAATTTGAAAGAAATGTGACAGTCTGAAAGAAAAACGCCCTCAATTTACCCTTGCTTTAGTGAGCTGCTCGTAATTGCCCTCCTGGACCAATTCTTGATGGCGTGTGCGAGGTTAGTTCAGCACGGTGGGGCAATGCAGGGTTCTCTCAAAAAGCAGGTTTCTCTCAACACGAGCCTGAAAGGTCTTCCCTCTTGAAAGTTTCAGTCATGCCCATTGCCCTCTCGTTTTACTAAGGATGTTCAACATACTCCCAAGGCCAAGTTTCTCAAGGTAGAAAGAGTGGAACACTGTGAGAATTACCAGGACACATGAACAAGTATATTTCTTTATATGAACTGGTTTAATGGCAATCAAATTTATTTTTCTCATTCACTTTAAACTGGAATAATTAGAAGGCAACTCCATGTAAGGGAAATAAGTAAATATTTCTTCACTTCCCATCTACTGAGCATCCAGCTGTTTTTTTCTTAGAAACAGGTTATTATCATTTTCAGTGTTTCTTTTCCTCTCTATCAATGCCAGGAACTAAGCATGCACAATAACAAGTTGTGGTGTCTGAGACAGCCCTGGCCAATCTCAAGGAAATCTGAAGAGCTGCTTTGTTGTACATCAGCGTACATCAGGCCTGGAGATGTTGTCACACAGGGATCATTTTCACATGTGCTTTTAACAGTATTAGAAACTTCTAGGTTAAAATATCTCATATCTTTTGCACTAGTATACCTATCCAGATAATGGGCATTTTTGATATAATTTCTATGGCTGTCAGATTGTAGCGTTGTCACATGAGAGGTAAAATCTGATGATAGATCAAATCCACAAATTCTTAGGAATAGCTTAGGAAAGTGCTACTTTCTAGAGCACTGAGGAAATAATGATCAAATAGCAGTTTTCACGATGCATTCGTGGTAGAACTCGGAGTACTACTGCAGCAAGATAAATGACTACATGTTCATCTCAATTGCACTGAAAATCTACGGAGCTTAAAATCATCACTGAATGTCTCAGGGTATTACTGAGTGGACAATGGAGGATGCTAAAAATTCCTGACTTTTCTTCCTAGCAGAAACAGCTTGTCAAGTGAAACAGGAAAGGCCTAACAAAGTCATTCAGTTTCAAGGGAGGAAAGAGGGAATTTGCAGAATGGCAGCACACAAAGATCAGGTGACAGTTCTAGGTCAAAACACATATTTCTTAATCTGCTCTTAAACTTGTAGAAATGGCATCCAGTAAATCCATCCAGTAGCAATACTGTATTTCAGCTCTCTTTTTCTTTTTTCCATGCACAGAACACATGTGTTTATGAAGTAGCTTAAGGTTATTTTTCACTGAGAGAAAACAAGAATGTCATCAGAGCAGTTTGTCTTTTTCTGGAGATGACCGTGGTCTTTGCAGGATATATTGGCAGAAAACCCTTGTGTCATTCTGTACAATGTGTTGTTCAGTACTTATGTACTTTCAATCTTTGCAATGGATTAAGCTATACTAAATCCAATGAAAAAATATTTAATAAAAACTAAGATTTTAGACTTGTGCTTACCTGGAACAAAGCTTCCCTGGACCACTTCCTTATAAGCCCACCAGCCCTCATGGATTTTTGGTGAATTTTGTTGAGCTGGAAAGAAATAATGAAAGTAGTAGTAAAATTAAGACAGTGCATAGGGAATATGTAATTGAAAGAACTTTGGAAGCCCTAAAATAATAGCATATCATTTCTACAAGAGCCATTTATATTTATTCATTTTATTGAACTGTGCTAAGTGTCTGTTCCTCGAAGTAAAGTTTCTGATTTCTCAGAGAGAAAATCATATTATCTTCCAAAGAACTTAACACTAAATTTAAGAAAAGAAGGTAAAAGATCACTAGCATTACTGATGGTTTCTGTGCCAGTCATAAATTCAATATGAGATAAAAATGCAGAGAACAAGAGTGTGCCCGTGTACAGTAGTGTGTATCTGAGCCCAGCTTGGTGCGTTGAGAAGCAAGTTCTCCCCTTCCTTTCCCATGGGAAAGGATAATCCTTCTCCAGTAATTTCTCTCTCAAAATGGGAAGAAGTGACAGAAGGAACCATAGGCAGTAGCCGTGCCCGTATCTGCTTTCCCTCATCCCATGTCCTCCGAGCCCCAAACCAGAACCCCGAAGTATAGCCCGCAGTTTCACAAGGTGTTGGTTTATGCTGTTTTGCTTGGGCAGGGAGATTGGACTTTTGTGTTATCTTCTTTGCCTGCCCTGTAGCAGCCACTGCTTGTCCCCTGCAGCCACCCTGGCCGAGCGTGGGGCCACCGAGGGCTGTAACCGTAGCAGGCCAGGCTGGTCTTAAAGGGCTCCAAACTGTTCTCAAAGGACTTCTCTGAATTCCTGAAAATCCAAGCGCAGAAAGGCCAGGGACAGTCAGTTTACTAATACCCAGGTCCAAGTGTAAACTATCTGGTAATAGAAAATACAACATTTACACGGTTCCCGGATACACAACAGGATAAACTTACAATTGGCTTCCAGAGGAGGGGCTGCAAGAACACAGCCTGTACATACCTTCCACCTGCACCTTCAGCATGCTTGAGATTTTTCCATGCTTAAGGCAGCTCTCTCACTGAGCTGTAGAAATCTCAGCTATCCAGGGTATCTTTAGTTCAAAAATTGTGTTTTTATAAAGTACTTTAAATCTCTGGCACTAGTCTAATAGCTGCTTTTTATTTTTTTTATAAACATAAACACACAGCTACAAAAACTGCTGAATTTAGCAGCTTTCTACTGCAGTTTCATTTCTGGTTAGATATTATGTGCAAAAGACACAATTACCCCGGGAAAAACTCCAGCAATCTAATAAAAATTGTCGTTGACATTAAAAATTACAAAGAGGATGTGACATTGGAACTAAAAGGGATGCAAAACGAGGACCATTACATACTGCTCTATCAGTAACAAAACAATACTTATGATTTAACTGACTGTAAATTACAGAAACAAAAGTAAAGCTGAAGTTAATTAAACATCCTGACAGAAGGACCAACGCTTTCCGCTTACCAGAAATTGAAACACACGTTACTGAAAACGGCTGCGCGGAGGCCAAATTCTCCTCGCAGAACTGATGCTCATCCCACTGCCTGAGCGATGACACGCTGAACTGAAAGGACTATTCCACTGCACACCCGGTACACTTTGCAGGTGACATTATCTTCTTTTTTTAACCTCTGCACTATTGCCTAGAGAACTCCAGCTGTGTGCGGCTTCGTTGTGCTACAGTAAACTACACAAACACTTGGAAAATGACAAATCCCAACCCGCAATCAAAACTGCAGCTATTCATCTCTAGCCTGAACTGTGATTGTTAGACCTAAGCACTGGTTAGGTGGGTTATTTTTCCCACCCCCTTTTATAAGAAGTCCTTAAATATTTCAGGATCCTTCAGAAATAGGAGAAAATATTAATAAGTGAGTGCCAACTGAACACAGCACTCATTCTGCTGCTTAAATTCCCCAGAAAATTAAATTGTTTTAAAATCCACCTTTTAGTAATACATATCCAGCTCAGACAGCCTCTGCCAACTAGAGGCAGATGAACTTTAGGGTGAGTGAGCTCACGTTGTGGAGAGAGGCACCTTATAAAGACTGCAGGAGGGATGGAGATTTTCAAAAGCAACTGTTTACTGTCAGCATTCATACAATAAAAAGCTATCAATTTTACACATTCTGACCAGGCTAAATGATATATTTGTTGCCTAGAAATTAAAAAATGCGTATTGTTCAGAGATGAAAAATCAAAGACATCAGCTCTGCTGTTCTTTTGTGGTGTATGGCCCAACATTTCGTAAGCTAATTCCAGAAGGAATCTCAGGAAAACTACGGATTCTGACATATGTTTTCAGATTTTCTGCATTAGTATGGAAAGAAAGACTGTGTGAGGTGAGCAAGAAAATCAGATTATCGAAGCTTTGTACTAAATAATTGGACGCCTTTGCAGTTGTCGCAGCTATGAGAAGAGCGTGACCTGGCATCACTCTGCACATTGCACAGGTAACAGGTCCTCACCTCTGCAATACACAGGAGAAGGAAACACGTAGAAAGTCGCACAAGAAGCAAATCAAGATGCTGTAGCACAGGCATCTCAAATGGCCAAGAGAGGGCAAGAGCGCTGCTGGGGCAACTGCTGATTTACAGCAAACTGAGGCCACTGAGGAAATCAAGAGGAAAGGCAGGACATCACTGTGAGAGGAGAGCTCTCACCGCGCAATCACCGGTGCCCTGCTCTTCCTTAAGCCCTGAAACGTCAAGGTTTTATACCAGCTCAGGCAAAACATCCTGCAAAAATAGTGCAGAGAGCCACTGAACATGGATTTCCACTCTGCTGTGCATATGAAATCTAGGCTGATGCCAGAGATTTACCCTGGCAGATTCTATAGGGATGTGGTACAGTGAGGAGGAAGGTTGATAAAGGTCTCATTTCTCTTCATGCAGAAGACGAGGGGATGGGTAAGCCCAGGTCAGTGTGGATGTTCCAAAACCACCTCCTAAACCATCATACGAAAGGACAAAAAATCTTGCTACAGGAGCAGAGAAGCTGTTCTTTGTTTTTGAAACTTATTCCAGCCCATACCTGGATGAGTAGCGGAACGGGGCAAAATAAAATCAGAGTGAACAGACATATGGACAGCGCTTGCTGGGAATCCTATCTAGGCCACTTGCACCTGATGCACTTACAGCAGAGGGCTGCTATAATTTTGTATCAATGCCCATCTGACAGGATGCCCTTGTGCCTGGCTGAGCAGGTTCAACCGTATGGCCTGGGAGCTGTTGCCAAGGAATAGGATTCTTTCTATGTGCCACCCCATGACACTGAACATTGCATAATCCTCTCAGCATCCTTATTTCAAGTAAAGGAAAAATGCTACTTCTTGAGGTTCTCCCACTTGAAGGCCACAAAGAGATACATGTGCCTGGTTTGTGGATTCAGAGTCCTATAATTCTACTGCTATGGTCGCCCCTTGTTTTGCTGTGACCTGTCATATAAGAATAGTGAAGAGCTTTAGGAAAGGAAAAGGTTTAGAAAGCAATGCTCTCGTCCTGGAGAGGGTGAAGAAGAAGAAAAGTCACTTCGATACCTCAGAGACATCTTTAAATGCCTTTTGCTTCCAAAAAATGTTACCAAAATGCACAAACACACCTGAACAGACTTCACTGCTAGGGCAGATTACAAGTACAAGCAGCTCTACAACAGCGTTAGCATCAACACTCTATTCTGCTATTAGCAGGGACAGTCCAAAATGCCATGTTTGTCCAAAGTGCTGGAGGATATTGCAGTGACCTCCATTTGCTGCACTGTTCTCCCCTCTGCCTTGCTATCACTGGGATCTGAGCTTAGTAGCTGTGTGATATAACAGCATTTTGCCAGATCTCTTTCATGCAGCTGCTGTAGGAGAGACAGGATATTTATACAGAACAGACAGGACACATATTGGTTTCATTTTTGTCAGATAATTGTACGTGTGTCTCAGTGTGGGGCATAAAAACTAAAGAATAAATTCTGTAAGATGCTGTGTTTCTGTTCCTAGTAACTTCCATGTATGGAGAAACAGCATCACCCAAGAACAGAAAAACAAAGTAGCCCCAAGCAGGAAAAGATGCCAAAGCTGCATAAAGTTATCAGTTAACTCTGCTAAAATGGGTAGGATTATGGTAAAAGAGAAGCTGGACTGTGGAGAATAAGCTTTACAGAGGCCAGGAAAAAAACTTTTTTATATGAGTTTTATTGATCTGAGCTCTTCTGTTTGCTCCACGAATGATTCTGAGGCTTCTCTCTCCTCATCTTACATGCTGGGGTCCTGCTCTGCTGACCTGGTTAGTATTGGCCTGGCATTAAATACAAACATGGTTTTTATTGCCGTTACCCTTTTTGCATGTTTATATGATTAAGTAAAAACAGCTGCAACTACAAACCATGTAATTTCATAGTTAGTAAATGTAGTGTAAGGCATTAATTCATATGGCATTAATGCTTTCATATGAAACCTATAGCAAAAAGTCATAGTACAAGAAAAATAAATCCTTAAAGCTGCTATTCTAAAGCTTAGGGCAAAAAATGGAAGATCTATTCACTAAGTATTGGATGACTCTGTGATCTTTGCTTATATTTACCCTTTCTATTCCACAGACTATTGGCTTTTCTAGGCATGATGCAGTTTTCTTCCAGCCAGCATGGACTGTTGCTTAGGGATGTAACAGAGCTTGACGTTGCAGTCGGAGCTTCGTAGGTCACTTCAGGGCCCTTTCCCAGCTCCTAGGGCATCTGCCTCGGTCACTGACACACAAGTAATCCAAAAGGCTGGGCCGTATGGAAGGTGTTACAATTCCTGGAATTTTTCTGTACTTTCTGGTCTTCTGTTTGGGAAGATCATGTCATCTAGTAGAAAATTATTCCTCCAGAGAACAGTGTAGCATGATGTAAAAAGAACACAAGAAACTAGAAGAACAATGTTAGTGTTTTTTGCTAAAATCAATTTAAAGAATCTTAGGTAATGTGTGCAGTTTGTAGTTGTTTTAAAATAATAGCTTTAATGACTGTATTTTATATGGATCTTCAGCACACTATTAAACCCAAGGATGGATAGTGAAGCTTAG